AGGGGATTCCCTTTCAGACTTTTTCTTTCTTTTTTTTTTTTCCAGACATGGTTTCTTTGTGTAGCCCTGGCTGTCCTGGAGCTCGATCTGTAGAGCAAGCTGGCCTTGAACTCAGAGGTCCACCTCCCTCTGCTCTGGAGCACTGGAATTAAAGGCGAGCACCGCTGCCACCTGGCTGGACTTCTACTTCTGTAGAGGTTTCCAAAGGAGAGTTGTGGATGTGTGTGTGTGTGTGTGTGTGTGTGTGTGTGTGATCCCTGGGAGTAGACAATAAAGAAGGAAGCTCTATGTTTATTTATTTACTTAAGACAAAGTTTTACTCTATAGCCCAGGCTGGCCTTCGATTTGAGTTTCTCCTGCCTCAGCTTTTTAAGTGCTAGAACTATTGGTATATATCATCACACCCAACCTAATACTGAGGGACCGGGGGTAGGCTTTTTTTTTCTTTAAATTTTTTTGTTTTGTTTTTCAAGATAGGCTTTTTTTTCCCCCTCCTGTATAACCTTGAACTGGACTCCCTTTGTAGACCAGGCAGCCCTCACACTCACAGAGATCCATCTGCCTCTGCCTCCGGAGTGATGGGATTAAAGGCGTGTGTGTTGTTGCCATTGAACCCAGCCTTTGTGTAGGGCACTGGTTCTCAGTCTTCATGACGCTGTGAGCCTTTAATACGGCTCCTCATGTTGTGCTGACCCCCAGCCATAAGATTATTTTCCCTGCTACTTCATTATAGATGGTTATGAGCCACCACTTGGTTGCTGGGACTTGAACTCAAGACCCATGGAAGAGCAGACAGTGCTCTTAACCACTGAGCCATCTCTCCAGCTCGCTGCTACTTCATAACTGTAATTTTGCTGATGTTATGAATCATAACATAAATGTCTGTGTTGTCCAATGGTCTTAGGTGACTCCTGTGAAAGGGCTGAGAGCCACAGGCTGTGAACCACTGGTGTAAGACTTTGATTGAAAAGTTCGATGTTGAAAAAAAAAAAAAGCTTGAAGCTGGGCATGGTGGCACACTCCTTTAATCCCAGCACTTGGGAGGTAGAACAGAAGGATATCTGTGAATTCAAGACCAGCCTGGTCTACCTAGTGGTTGAGCTGTCAGAAGAAGCAACTGGGTGGCTTTAAACAACAAAGATTCTGCTCTTTGGAGTAACCCCAGACTTAATGGGGGTGTGTTAGCTAGGACTGGGGATTTGCCTTGTGTTAAACCTAAAACTTGAATTATTCATTTCCTCTGAGAAGGTCAAAGACTATAGCTGGGAATCCCTGCCTGGCATCCAAGCAATGACACATGCTTACACTGATGGAGAGAAAATGGCATATTCTCCATTGATGGGGATGGGGGAAAAAGCCAAAATATTTAAAAAATTATTTCATTTTTATTATTTTGTGTGTGGGTTTTGCCTGCCTGTATGTATGTGCATTATGTGTGTGCAGTGACCTCAGAGACCAGAAGAGGGCATTGGATCCCCTGGGACTGGAGTTACGAACGGATGTAAGCTGTCTGGTAGGTGCTGGGAACGGAACCTTGGCTCTCTGGAAGAATAGCCAGGGCTCTTAACCAGTGAGGTATCACTCTGGCACCACCAGAGTGCTCTTAAGGGGTAAGAGGACAGTGTGATGGGTCTGGCCTTGGGGACATTGGAAAAGACTGTGCCATAGGCTTCCTGCTCAAAGCGAGGGGCTGTCAGATAAAAGAGGTTGGAAGGGCCTGTTGGGAGGAGAGGGTGGGGTGGAGTAAGGCACATCGGTCAGAGACAAGGGTCCAGACAGGCGTGCTCTGATGGAGGTGCTGAGAAGGTGTTAAAGACAAAGAGTCATCAACAAGTTTTCTACCTCACACACAAACACTCGCCTTTGCTACGGGTAGCCGTTTCCCACCTTCCAACCCTAGAGGACTCACAGGCAATCTAGAAGCACAGGAACCAACTAGCAATGTAACAGGAAAGCAAAAACAGGGACTACCTGGGAGAAGAAAATAACTCAGTCAGAGGGTAGGGTGTTGTCTTAGGGTTTCTACTGCTGCAATGAAATACCACGACAAAATCAAGTCAGGGAGGAAAAGGGTTATTTGGCTTATACACATCAGTTCATCACTGAGAGAGGTTAGAACATGAACTCAAACAGGGCAGGGACCTGAAGGCAGGACCATGGAGGGGTGCTGCTTACTGGCTTGCATCTCATGGCCTGCTTAGCTGCTTTCTTATAGAACCCAGGACCACCAGCCCAGGGATGTCACCACCTACAATGGGCTGGGAACTTCAATATTAGTCATTAATTAATAAAATACCCTACAGGCTTACCCAAAGCCCGATCTTATGGAGGCATTTTCTCAGATGAGGCTCTCTCCTCTCTGATGACTCTAGCTTGTGCCAAATTGACATAAAACATAAAACTAGCCAGGATAGGTATGAGGATGCTATGATGAAGTCCAGCCTAATACAATGAGAAAGGAACCTGTCAGCAAGCTTAATACCATCCACAACCTTAATAATGTAATTGTTCTAATAGAGGTGACATACCCATGTAACATATTCATGGGGTGAGAACACAGGTCACTGATAGATTAGCCTTGCATGCCTAGGGCCCTACATTTGAATCTCAGCACTACAAAAACAGACAAAATAACAATAGTTTCATGGATTTTTTATAGTAAGAAAACAAAAGAAAGTCTTAAGTTTCTGACCATTAAATAAAGGATATATCTTAAGGAAAGTGGGATATTATCCTAACTCTCATGTTTACTAAACCGAAATCATTCTTTAGTGGTAAAACCAATCAACAATAAAAACCAATTGTATTATTGGAGAGTGACTAAACAGTATGGAGCTTCTTCAAAAAACGTCAACATAGAAACTACCAAATGATTTAGCAATCTTGCTTCTGGACACGGATCCAAAGCACAACATTAAAGAAATCCCAGCCCAGTCCTCTCTACCGAGGCATCATTTCCAGTAGACAGCAGATTAAGCTGAGCATGTTCTCCACAGGCTCATGTACAGAGACACTTGGTTGTCAGCTGGCAATGATGCTTTGGGGAATTGTGTCACCTTGGGATGTGGGACGTAGCTGAGGGAAACAGCCACTGGGGAGGAGGGTGCTGATTGCAGAAACACAGCTTTCATCTCAAAGGGAATATGAAATAATTCTGGAGGGACGTTTGAGTGAACAAACTAGGAGCACAGACTTAGGTCACCCCAAAATCTCATGTTCCTATGTAGCAACAGTTTCGTGAAATTTTTTTTTTTTTTACAACAAGGAAACAGAATAAAGTCATAAATCAAGGCAGTTTTTCAACACATTGTGGGGCTGGCTACAGCTAAGTGAAGCTTCTCCTATAGACTTCTCCCAGAGGCTATCTCATGACATTCTTCAGGCTAGAGGAAGCGAGGGCATTGTCAGTGTATTCCAAAAACCTTTACCTCATAGTCATGGGCTATTAGGTCAAACACAGAGGTGGGTGATGCATGGCCCTGAAGAAGGTCTAAGATGGTCCAAGGTAAGTTTTCCCTGGACTTGGAACACTACAGCTCTCCATCATTATGCGAATTCCAACCAATCAGTCATCCTTATGGAATATAACACACAGGACCTTAAAATTTGTAGTTTAGTGGGGCAGTGGTGGCGCACACCTTTAGTCCCAGCACTCAGGAGCAGAGGCAGGCGGATCTCTGTGAATTTGAGGCCAGCCTGGTCTACAGAGGGAGTCCAGGACACGTAGAAACCCTGTCTCAAAACAAACAGACAAACAAAACAACAACAAAACCAGTTTAAAACAAAACAACAAAAGATGTGATTTAGTAGTTATTTCCGGGTCCGCTGAGACGTAAACAAGCGTCTTCATGCTTCGGCCACCGCGATGAGCGGTCCTTATGCCGTGCCTCCCCTGCCAGGATGCACTGTGGCCTCAAACCAAGAGGCAAATGCTTCCTCATTTACTCTGCTTCCTGTTAGGTGTGTCAGCACAGGAAACTGCCAGAGAAGTGGGGTCCATGATGAGGTACCTGATTGGGGGGGTTATAGCCATTAGGAAAAGCCCCGTGGGAGGAATGGGAAGAGTTTGGCCCTGTAGGCTACAGTAGCCCAAAGTCCAATGGGCTGTTCTAGTGGGAGACTAACAATACGGATGTAATAGGGAAGGCCAGGTTCATGAGGTTTCAGACAGACTCCGCAGGACCCGGGGCAGAGGTCATTTATGTTGCACTAGGCATAGAGTCCATCTTTAGCCCACATCTGAAAATCTGAGCGAGACTGAGCTTTTGAATAATAATGTTTAGTGAAGAAAATTTAGAGAAGACAGTGTAACATCTGGGCTGTAGAATGGTCATTGCTCGCTGTGCTTTCCCTGATTAAAACTGTGACAGGAATGTGAAGTTTGAGGAGGAAAGGACCCTGAAGCCCGTTTAAGTTGAGGGCAGGGCAGGTGTAGGTAAAGAAATTGCAATTGTTAAAGGAATTGGCAGCATTAAAGAGAAACCTCACACTTTGCATGAGGACAACAGGAAAAGTACTTTGAGGGCAAGAAGCTCCCCATGGAAAGCTCCAGAATATAACAATGTAAATTCATTTGAAAAAGAGAGTGTGTCTAAAATGACAGGGCCGTAAGGAAACCCTGTTGAAAAATGGATGCCTAACGGTCTTCTAAATTCAGTCATGAAGCCACAGAAAGGCTGTGGTAGTTGCTCAAGGGGGACAGGCCGCAGCTTCAGCTGACAGCAGCTTGGCACCATCTGTGTGGTGCTGACTCTGCAAGTATGCAACATGCAGGGGCAAGGGAGCCATGAATGCGTGCGTCAGTGTTCCCAGTAAGCTACTGAAGCCAGGCAGTGTGTAAGGGCGTCATGAGCGTGCCCTGTCAGAGACAGAGGTGAACATAGTTATGTCTTTCTACAACACAAGACTTTATTGAATGATGACAAATTCACAAGCTACAACAGCTTCATTGGCAGCAACCTGTCAATAGGAACACCTCCCTTAATAACCCAGGCCAACCAAGGCACACAGGTGTTCTTTATTCCAACATTAATTATTAACCCGTACATCACACATTAAGCGTATACAGAACATATATCCGTATCTGCATCCCGATTTCTAGATATGTATGTTACAGAGTAGCTACAAAAAGTTAAGGCAGTGGAGGCTTGAGAAACCAGAGCTGAAAGACTGCTGGAAAGTCACAGGAGTCTGCAGGGTGAGTCACCAAGTGAGCTGGTGAAGTCACTGTTGGAGCAGTTGGCTGCAGGGTTGGGGCTGAGCTGTGGAGTTGAGTTCAATTGTAGAGCCAAGAAGGCAGGACTAGGTCCAGATGATTGGGTGAGCAGATGCATTGAACAGTTGGATCAATAAGAAGATGGTAGGTGGAAATTTGAGTAATCTCTGGCAACAGCGGGGACCAACCTGAATTGAAGGCCTTGGGACATTCAGTAATTCTCCACTTCTTGATCTCTAGATGAACAGACCAAGTGGTTAGATGATAGATTGGTGGCCATCACCATCACCATGCTAGGTGTCCTCTTTTTAGGGCATGGATGAGGAGTCACAGGCTTCCCTCAGACTGTTGTGTCTGATATCTTAGGCCTAGTTTTCCTGATGTGATTTTAATTTGCTCATAAGCTTCTACAGTCTCAGTTCACCCTAATCCTTTTTTATCCCAAGAGAAAGTAATTCATCAGTTTGTGTTGTATAGGTGGTACCAAAGAGATGGGGCTGTTCACATGTCCAATCAGGTGCAGAGTCAGCCTACATCTGGAAACAGAATCAAAAGCTGCTTGTAAAAAGAAGTCTCTCAGCCAGACAATGATGGTGCACATCTTTAATCCCAGCACTTAGGAGGCAGAAGCAGACGAATGTCTGAGTTCAAGGCCAGCCTGGTCTACAGAGCTAGTTTTAGGGCAGCCAGGGCTACACAGAGAAAACCCTGTCTCAAAAAACACACAAACAAAAAACAATCCCCCCGAAAGAAGTCTCTGAAGGCAAGACACATTTAGAAAACAACAACAAAACCCTAACATAAGACAGAGTAACCTCCGTGCACCCTTGTTTTGACATTGGGTCATATGTCTGGAATATGAATGGAATTCATAGAACACTTGAGCCTGCAGCGCATGAAGCTGTAAAGATGAAGTCTATATTTTAATGAGGATCAGAAATATGGAAGTTTACCAAGGGAAGCTGCAGCCACTGGAAATGGCCTAAGAGAGAAACTACAATTGCTGCAGGCAACAGAGCTGGAGGACCGGGCTGTGCAAGCCTTTTGGAGCACAGATGATGCCATCATCAGTTCCAGATGCCAAATATGGACCCACAGTTTTTTTTTTTTTTAAATTAATTAATTAATTATTTATGTATTTTATTTTTTGTGTGTGTCCTGTTGGGTTTCAGTTTTAATTTGGTCTGATATTTTCTGGCTGTGTCTATTCCTTCCTTTTGTAATGGGGCTGTTTGTTCTGTGTCATTGTATGCCGGAAAGAAGTAAATTTCCTTTTGTTTTTTTTAGGGGTTGATATAAGAGATTGCCTTGGATCTCAGAAGAAACTTTGGACCTTTAAACTGTTAGGACTATGGGAAGTTTTAAACTGAATGCATTTGCATTATCAGATGACAATGTACCAATGGAAGCTACAACAGAATGTTATTATTTGGTTGTAAAATGTCTGCCAATGGCTCATGCCAAAGGCATTGAATGCTGGCTCTCCAGTTAGTGGTGTTGTAGGAGGTTATGGAACCTTTGGGAAGTGGGATCTAGCTGGAGTAAATGAGTCACTGGGGGATGAGCCTTGAGGTTTATAGGTTGGTCCCACTTCTGGTGTCTCTCTGCTTTCTTAGACAAACAAGATAAGAACAAGCAGCCTCATATTCCTGCCACCATAGCTGTGACTCGCTTCCACCAGTAAACCTTTGCTGCATCAACGGACCATACACTTAGACTGTGAGTCAGACTAAATCCCTCCTCTCTTAAGTTGCTTCTTGTCAGATAGTCTGTCATATGGAGAGAAAGTAACACAAGAAGGAATTAACTCAAATATCCCCGACAGAGCTTGCAAAATAGCTCAGTGTGGCCAACAGCAAACGAGACCTTTTGCCATCTTAGGGAGTTCTCCCTTGCACGTGCCTAAGTATGACCATTTGGTGCGTTGGTTTTTGTCACTCTTACTTTTACGATGATCTTGCTTCTGTTTTTGTTGACTCTCACTTTCTGTATGTTTGATGACAGCCACTGAGAGCAATCCCGCTTCCTTAAAAGGACCCACTAGTTCTTCCTATTTACTGCTGGATTTTGATACCTACTTCCTCCATGTCTGCAGGGACCCACAGTGCCCTCTAGTGGCGGGGAGGTGTTCTATAGTCTTGGGAGGCACTCCAGGGCTTCAAATTCTTATATAGACTAGCCATGCCACCTGTTCAAATTAGAAGGAATTCCTGCCTTCCTGTGACCATCTGGGGAACAAACACGAGCCTGGCTTGAGGACTGGTCCACCACTGGATGAGCGCGTGGGAGAACGTAAGTAGGCAAGGTGATAGGCTCAAACATCCTGTGCCCTGGCCATCTCTGCCTCCAGAAGCATGTCCTTTGGTGTCATTCTTGGTGGTTTGTTCTATGACCTAACTGCTGGACCACTTTCCTTCCTGGATCCTTCTCCTCCTCCCGACACAAAGGAAGGGATTCCTTGGATTTCTGTCCTTAGCTGTAGTCTGTCTGGATGGTCAGAGTCACTCTCCAGCTGAGGTTTCTACCTGTGTCCTCAGCTTTAGCGTGTCTCACCTCTCCTCAGCTTTCCTGCATGTTCTAATGCTCAGCACTGTCTCCTCTAGGGCTCCCGAGGTGTACCTCAAACTCATTCTGTTAAACTGCATCCCATCTTCCTACTGCACCCTGATCTTTCTTTGGAACTTCCATTTTACATAACATGCTCCATGCACCACAAACCTGAGACTCCATCCTGCTTCTATCATCTCTCTCATCTCCCATGTCCACCCCTTCCTCAGTCTTATGGATACTCATGTTAAGCTTATTTAATTTTTTTCCTACTCCAGCAAAGTTTACCAAATACACCAAATAGGTTGTATTAGAATGGGGGTCATTATTTGTTCTTTTAAAAATGGCCTTACATGAGAAGTGCAGAAGGGTGCCATTTAGCTTCATGAAGGGTCTTCAAGGAGGAGAGCAAAGCTGCTCTTGCCTAGAAACACAGACCCAATTTTCTTCTGTAAAAAGGAACCAAACTAAGCCATTGGAGCAAAGCTTCCATTTTGAATAAAGTTCAAATTCTGAAGACCTCCCTGGGTAACTGACTTTTTTTCTTTGTGTGTGTGTTTTGTTTTTCGAGACAGGGTTTCTCTGTGTAGCTTTAGCTGTTCTGGACTCACTTTGTAGACCAGGCTGGCCTCAAACTCACAGTGATCTGTCTGCCTCTCCCTGGTAGCTGACATCTTGCTTGGCAGAGAGAAACATGTACACGCGTGTGGTGGTTTGAATAGGGTTGGACCCCGTAGATGCATGTGTTTGAATCCTTGGCCCATAGGGCGCAACACTATTAGGGCGTGTGGTCTTATTGGAAGAGTTGTGGCCATGTTAGAGGAAGTGTGTCACTGTGGAGGCGGGGCTTTGAGGTCCTAAATGCTCAAGCTATGTGCAGTGTAAAACACATTCAGTCTCCTCTTGGCTGCCTTTGGATCAAGATGTAGGACTCTCAGCTCCTCCTCCAGCACCAGGTCTGCCTGCATGCTGCCATGCTCCCTACCATGATAATAATGGACTAAACCTCTAAAACTGAAAGCCAACCTTAAGTAAATGTTGTCCTTTGTAAGAGTTGCCATGATCATGGTGTCTCTTCACAGCAGTAAAACCCTAACTAAGATAATGGTCACTGACATCCTGGTTGGTAAGTTGCGCTGCCACAGTTGAATAAACCAACCAATGAGGTCAGGGTAAGTGTACCACAAAGAAATGTTTCTAGGAAAATCCCCTATACCTAAATCCTGATTGGTGGGAAAATGTAACTGTACCGTGGCACATGTTTGTGGTTTTCCAGCTTAAAAGCACTGTAACATTCTGGCTAGGGACAGGGAGAGGGAGGGGGTCTGTTCTGCATCCCTGACGGATCAGTAGCGGCTTGATTACAATAAAGTTTTGTTATCTGCACTGACCTGGTGCTTGCATTGTGTTGAATCTAAGTGGACCCCACAACACTTCTCATCAAAGCAAAGGCTCATAAGCAATCGGCGTTACTGTCCAGAAAGTGCTGATCTCCTCGCCCTGAAATCTTACATCCCTGTGATAGTTAATGTTGCCAATTTGACAGGCTCTGCAGTCACCCAGAAGAAAACCAGAAGGTACACCCCTGAGGGCTCATTTCCCTCTGGGCATGCTTGTGAGGGATTATGTAATTAGTTTAATTAAGGCGGGAAGACCCAACCAAGAGGTAAGAGCACCACCTCCTGGGCTGGGTCCTGTGCTGTGTAAAGACAGAAGGGCTATTTCCACCCTCCATGTCCTGGGAGTCAGGCATATGCCATTATTTGTCTAATTACAGGGAGGCTGGTGGGTAGGAAGAGCTCAAGCGCTTGGAGTCCCCACCTAAACAAATTAGAGCCTAGTGCAAACAGCAAAATCAGCAGAGATGTTTTAGCTATATAAGATCATCACCTAATCTCTCACTAAGGACTTTCTACCCTGACCTATCGAACTGGCTGCTTTTGTGTCAACTTGACATAAGCTGGAGTCACCAGAGAGGAAGGAGCCTCAGTTGAGGAAATGCCTCCATGAGATCCAGCTGTCAGGCATTTTCTCAATTAGTGATTAATGGGGGAGGGCCAGGCCATGGTGGGTGGTGCCGTCCCTGAGGCGGTTCTGTAAAAAACCAGGCTGAGCAAGCCAGGAAAAGCAAGCCAGTAAGCAGTACTTCTTCATGGCGTCTGCATCAGCTCCTGCCTCCAGGTTTCTGCCCTGTTTAAGTTCCTGTTCTGTTTCTTTCAGTAATGAACAGTGCTGTGATGTGTAAGCTGAACAAACTTTCTCCCCTGGCTTGCTTTATGGTCATGGTGTTTCACTGTGACAACAGAAGCCCAAACTAAGACACCTATCAAAAGCGTTTCTCAGTCTTACTTTCACCTCAGCCTGTAGACGTCATGGGCTCATGCACCTGCAGGGGTTCCCAGGAGCTGGTGACGGAGTGTATTCTTGAATTCTTTGATCAAAAATACTGGTTTAAATCATCCTGTGTAAAGTATTGCTCTTAAAGTGTCTACCTCTTCCCCTGACTACACCTATTTTTATGGATCTGTGTATCTTCTAGGAGAAGAAGACATGATATCAAACTACCGCTTGGTTCAAAGAAAGTTCTCTTCCCTGGCTCTAATATCCCAGGGAGCTTTTGTAGACTCATATGAGGAAGCAGGTTTCAGCAGAGTGTGGTGGTACATGCTTTTTATCCCAGCAATAAGGAGGTGGAGGCAGAGGCATTCAGCTCTCTGTTAGTTTGAGGCCAGCTTGGTCTACAAAGTGAGACCCTGTCTCCAAATAGAGAGAGAGAGAGATGGACAGATGAATGAATGAATGAATGAATGAATGAATGAATGAATGAATGAGGCAGGTTTCAATGACTTGGACTTTAAAGTAATCAGTGAATAGGTTAAATTGTGGTCTCTCTCTGAGAAACCCAGCAGACAAAATGTTTCAATGGTTAAGCATTCACACCAGCCCGATAATACTGCAGATTACAAATGATGTGAAGATCTGAGTCTTACATTCTCAGTGGCTATGCATCCCAGTGACATGTGACCTATGTGGAAGTCTGAGTGGACATCTCTCCCTGAAGTCTATAAGAAGGCTGTGTCCCCTTTCCAGTTTGTTATCAGCACTCAGTCTTAGAGAGACTATGAGCTGTACTAATTCTGCTCATCATGTTTTTATCCTGCTTGGTGCCTCCCTCCACTTGGGAGAATCTCCTTCACAGATGGAGAGGGAGCTGCACAGCTCTTCAGAGGAGCCAGTGGCGTGGCACCGCAGGACACATCTTCCAGGTCAGCACCAGCTCTAAGACGCATCTCTCGGAACCTTCCTCTCCAGGAGCACTATCCTCCCAAAGGCAAATGAGTTTTCCTCAAGGAAAAATTTTATGTGTGTACATCTTATCAGAAAGGTAGACAGGTATGGGAAGGGTCAGAAGAGAACCACGCCTTTGATTGCTGGGTGATTTTTCTTGTTGCTACGACTACACACCTGACCAAAAGTGGAGTAAGAGAGGAACAGTTTATTTTTGGCTCCTGGTTTGAAGGTATAGCCCATTACAGAAGAGAAGGCATGGTAATAGGAGGCTGAGGCTGCTGGCCACATGGCATCTACAGGAGAAAGAGAGAGAGACAGAGAGAGAGAGAGAGAGAGGGAGATGCAGAGATATTTTGTATGATAACAGATATTGATATTATGGGGGCCATGGTGTAGTGTGCTGTGGTTGGGGTTAGTTTGACTTGTGATGGTTGACCTTTATTCTCAGCTGACTGGGGTTTGAATCACCTGGGAGGCATATTTCCGGGCGTATCTGTGGGGGCGTATCCAGAGATATTTAAGTGAGGAAAGAAGACCCCCTGCACGTGGGGGGCACCAGTCCGTGGTCTGAGGTGACTGCATACAAGGAAGAAGACGTGAGAGTACCAACATTCATCTTTCTGACTAATCTCCTCTTTCAAGTACCAATACAGTGCCCCTCTCATACAGCGACATGTAGTTTCATATACATCCTACACTCAACATCTATTTATCTTGGTGGATGTTCTGAAGGTGTCCTGGAGGCATGGGAAGCGTAGTGTCAAAGGCATCCGGCTCCTGCTCTCATTTACTCCAGAGCCAGCAGGTAGACAATGAGTGATAAATGCGCTTTGCATCAGAAGACAGAGATGGCTGTGAGTTTACTGTTACCTGAACACCGCCTGGAAAGTCTGCTCCACTGGCTCCCGTTAAAGTGAGAAAGCAGTAAAATCATGGGGTGGGGTGGGGGATCTAAGTTTAAGCTGAAGATCATTCATTATTCCATGCTTTTTAGCTATTCCATATTCATAGCTGTGTTTTCAACTTTGAGTCCTTAAAATAACTTCATTCTTCCTCAAACCACAACTCTGAGGTCTATCCTGACTGCTCTTTATTGTTCCCACCTCAAGGAAGCCAACATTCAAAGAAAATCTAGTTTCATTTTCAACAGGGTATCAAGATAGGAACAAAGAAAAGAAAAAGAAAAACTAACAGTGGGGGTGGGAGATGGAAGATTGATTTTAATTATTGCCAGCCAACTGAGATTCCTAAAATAAAATGCTGTACATGTAAAATCAGTTACATGATGAGAACTTACGAGAAGCTGGGCCACACTCACCTTTTAGGTCCTGCTACGTTTTTTTGAAGGGTTAGGTAGAAACTTTTTCTGAAAGATAGAAGATCCAAGTGTGTGGTTACAGAATGTGGTGTTGAGTCTGGTATTTCTAATCTCCTCCTAAGGGTTCCTGCCAGAGTGGCGCACACCTTTAATCCTGGCACTGGGGAGGCAGAGGCAGTTGAATCTCTGACAGCCAAAGCTACACAAAGAAACCCTGTCTTGAAAAACAGGTTTTTTTCTCAGGATGTTTGCACTGTGTCTTGCAGACTCTGACCAATGTCAAGAAAGTCCTCCTTAGAACCTTCTCCCTTTTTTGGAGCATCTTGATGTAATAGGCCCCCAGTCTTGATATAACAGGCCTCCAAATCTTACCACAACTGACTTCATGATGGAACTATCATTCAGGCCATAAGACTCTGCACATAGGCAGCACCACCAGCCAAAATGAAAACAAAGACTTAATTCATCAAAGTCCATAGTTATGGGAAAAATCTCTAAATGAACTGCCTTGCTTTTTGGCTTCTGTAGTTTTGCTTCTGGCTAACTGTTCTTGTCAAGCCAGAACATGATTTTGTGCTTAAAAGCTCATCCTGAGAAAGGCTCAGTGCTAGTTGCTGCCAGCTAATAACAGACTTAATATTGGCTTAAACCATGTCCAAATAGTCTTCTTTGGTGGGTACTTCACAACATTGAGAAGTTTCCCCTCACAATCTCTCTGTTCCCATCTGAGGCACTCCAGCTTGACTTCCCACACCAGAACTATCCTGTCATCACAGGCTGGTTGTATGTATACTGGATGTCAGATACTCTAATCAATGGACCACATAAAGATAGAAAACCCTAGGGGGTAGATAGAGAAGGATGCTCCTGGGAAAGCCAATCTCAAACAGTATAAGAAGGCCATACCTGGATCAGGAATTTCAGGGTCCTAGTGTGGCAACGCACACTCAATTTCCAGTTCTTTGATTTTTCATAGCCTCCCAGGATTTCAAATTCAGGGGGTGTGAGCCATAACCCATCCGCTGTCCGTATGGACACCACAGAAATTCCTGTAGGACCAGAGCAAGTTGATTCAGAGCCTGCTGTGACCCTAGAGCTCGGATTCATGACCCCCCATGAAGCTGAACCTAGAGCCACTCAACTGTACTCAAAGCCAGTAGCAGAGGAGTCAGGGCCACCTCTGGCTTCAGGGGCCCCCAGCTCAGCCCTGGGATTCCCTGACAGGGCTTTCACGAAGCCATGTATATTTCGTTCATTGTCATGCATGAAGAAAATGACAGTTGCCGCCAGTGCACACCTTTTTTGCAACTTCTTCAGAGTCACCTAGAAAAGCACAACAAGAAAGCTGACTCTACAGCGTGAGTTGGGGCTCTCAGGCTGGAGAACAACCAGAGGCTCAGGTGCCCAGGCAAGGTGGAATCCTCACTTAGAGTGGAGACTGCAGCCACTGCCTGCAACTCAGGATTTTGTGACATCATTTTCTATCCAATCTAAAGGGACTGTTGAACAGAAGTTTGCTCATCCCTACAGTCATAGTAGACACCATCAAACATAAGTGAAATGTTATCCAGCGGAGAAAGAGATTATGTTAAAAAGCCAGTTCTATGTTCCACATCTTCCCTATCATGAAAGTGTAAAGCAAAAATCACAATGACACTGTTTCACATCTACCAGGATGACCATAATAATAGTAATCAAAAAAAAAAAAAAAAAAAAAAAAAAAAAAAAAAAAAAAAAAAAAAAGAAAAAAAAAAAAAAAAAAAAAAAAAAAAAAAAAAAAAAAAAAAAAAAACAGTAACAAGAAATAGCAGCTAGGGACGGAGGGACGTTTGGGTGCTGCTTAATTGCTGGGGATTGAAAATAGTGTGGCCACCATAAAAGCATCTCAGTGATTCCTTCCATATGACCCAGCAATTCTGTATGTGTGTGCCTCCAACTGAGTGTGTATGTCCACACACATGTTGTACATGAATTCTCAAAGCAGCATTAGTCATTATAACCAATGGTACAAATGATCCAAATTGATGAATGATTACAGATAATGTGATACATCCTGTACCGGCTGGTTTTACGTCAGTTTGACACATGCTAGTGTCACCAGAGAGGAAGGGGCCTCAGTTGAGGAGATGCCTCGGTCAGATCCAGCTGTAAGGTACTTTCTTACTTAGTGACCAATGTGGGAGGGCCCAGCCCATTGTGGGCGGTGCCGTCCCGCCATGGTCCTGGGTTCTGTAAGAAAGCAGGCTGAGCAAGCCAGTCAGCAGCAGCCTTCCACAGCCTTTTCCTCAACTCCTGTCTCCAGGATCCTCTCCCGTTTGAGCTCTTGAACCGACTTCCTTTGTGATGAACAGCAATTGGGAAGTGTAAGCTGAATCAACAATTTCCTCCCCAACTTGTTTTTTGGTCATGATGTTTTATCAAAGTAATAGAAATCCTAACCAAGACATAGCCATACAATGGAATATCATGTTATTTGACAGTTACAAACATGTGTTACATAAACTACACAGATGAAGTTTGAAACCATCATGCTAAGTGAAAGAAGGCAGTCACAAGTGGTACCCATTGTAGGAAGATTTATAGAACAGGAATTAGGTGGGCTATTGCGGGGGGGGGGGGTGAAGCGGGAATGAGCATGGATTTACCAATATAAACGGAGAGAAAAATGGTGTTTCTGATGCACCAAAGAAGAAAGCCCATTGATCTGGTAAACTGTATGGCTGTTTGGGTTTTTTGTTTGTTTGTTTGTTTGTTTGTTTGTTTTCCAAGACAAGGTTCTTTTGTGTGGCCCTGGCTGTCCTGGAACTCACCCTAAAGACTAGGCTCGCCTCAGACTCAGAGATCTCAATATATAAACCAGGCTGGCCTCTAACTCACAGAAAGCTCCCTCTCCCTGCCCCCCAAATGCTGGGATTAAGGGCATGTACCACCACACTTTTGGTTTGTTAGTATCTTTTTAAATGGAGAAATCTTAGGCACAGAAAGTCCCCACCTCCGGAGAATAAGACCATCACATTTGGCAGGGTCCAGGCAAGAAGTTGGTTCTCTGCTTCTCTGTCCTGTGGTCATCTGTCTCACCATAATAAGTGCATTGCCCTGGCGCTAATGACCCAGGGATGTGAAGGCAGAGGCTGACAGCCTCTTCCCATTTAAGTCTGGCTAGAAAGAAAATATACGATAGTTTCCACCGGTGGATGGGAGTTCATGGGCTTCTCCCTGCTTCTCTGGGCAGCTCATGGCTACATCCATGTTGTGAGCATCTATTAGGCATGATTTTTTTCAAGTGTAAAAATGGCAGGGTAGGATCCCTTCCTCTTTTCAAGCTACACCCCCCCCCCAATTCCTTAAGTGTGGTAGCCTATTTGGAGTTAATAGCCAAATTGGAGTGCATATCTGAGCAGTAGAATTTGGCCTCTTGGCCCTGGCTCTAATCTAAAGCTTGGTGTCTCAGAGACTGACCCTGGCAGTCCTACAGCAGAGGGCTCTGACCCTGAGAACGAGATAATAAATTCCGTGCAACCATGGTAACCAGACAGCAGGTTCTGTGTAACCTTGAATGAGCCCTCGTATGTTTTGGCCAAGTAAAGTTGCCTCCATGAGAAACTGCTTGTACTTTCCTGCTATTTAAGTGTTAACCTGACTTTCAGTAAACGACACCTTGATCAGAACCTAGACTTGGTGTCCTTCTTTGTGTTGCCCTGCTCCCTTTTTCCCCAGCCTTCACTCAGGTGCTATTCAGGTGTCACTGCAGGTCGGTGACACTTAAGTAATTCCATTACTTAATTCCATTAATTAATTCATATTCTTTTCTTTAGAAGTTGCAGAGTAAAAACCATGAAACCCACCTTGTATGAATTTCTTCTTATATAACACCCCTTCTGCACCACCACACCTCACAGGAAGCTGGTCAGCATTGAAACACAAAGCTTCAGTACGGGATATTCTTGGGGCTGAAATAGAAGATTTCTTCTGTCTCTCTTTGCAGGTATGTATGACCCCTCCTCCCTCAGTCATTCTTGTAAAGGTAGAAAGGCACTTGGGAAATTCTGACTCACAAATCTACAGCTTTGAAGTCTTTTCTTAAAGTAGATCACTGGATACATAATGACAGACTGTCCACCCCAGTGTCAATTTATGAAAAAAAAAAAAGAGAGAGAGAAACCCCAGGATGCTTTAGTAGAGAAATCTGACATCAGGGAAACTCTCCATAGTGGTTCTGACAGAATCTTAGTAGCCATGTTATTTTGCTGCTGATAGTAGCCAATGATAAGACCATTTGCACACTGACTGGGCAAGCAGGGAGATGATACAGATGCGCTGGGTAGTTTTGTGTTGACTTGACAGAAGCTGAAGTCATCGGACAGGAGGGAACTCCATAAAATTGTCTTGTAGGCAAGTCTGTAGGGCATTTTCTTTTCTTTTTCTTTCTTTTTTTTTTTTTTTTTTTTCGATAATGTGGTTTAATCTGCCAAATATACAAGTTGAATTTGAGGAGCATGTCTTGTCTGGGTGATACAGGGAGCAGTTTCTTGAAATGGTTGATGGCAGGATGGTGGGCCCCAGCCCTGACCGGGCATGGGCATTTTCTTAATTAGTGATTGATGGGCAGGACCTAGCCCATTGTGGGTGGTGCCATAGAAAAGCATGCCCTGTTCATGCCCTGTTTGAGTTCTTGCCTTGACTTCCTTCCATGATAAGCAGTGGAAGTGCAAACCAAATAAACCCCTTTCTCTCCAATTTGCTTTTTGGTCATGGTGTTTTATCGCAGCAAGAGAAACCCTGACTCAGACAATGGGCAGCCCAGCAGAGTCGGCCAAGATCATGTCTTCTTTATGTCTGCCCTGCTTCATTCCTCCCTCACAACAGCGTTTTGTGTCTGTAGCTGATACAGAAACCCAGAAAGTTCTAGAATAACCTGAAAATTATACGGGAAAGGGAGAGCTGCAACTCCACAAAAGTAGAGATGAAAATTCCTCGGGGCTGGGGCCTGGAGACGTGGCTCAGAGCTTACAAATCCTGAGTTTGATTCCCAGCAACCACATGGTGGCTCATAACCATATATAATGAGATCTGGTGCCCTCTTCTGGCAGGTAGGTGTACATGCAGGCAGAACATTATATACATAATAAATAAATAAATAAATAAAAATTCCTTGAGGAAATTGCAGGAAGATAAGAAGCTAAGTTTGCCCTTCCTGTCATCAGAGACCTTGATTTAGTGGTGGTAGTAGTGGGGTGGAGGGTGAGGTGGGCTGTCTGTGATGCTGAGAATAAGTTTGAGAAGTAGCTGATCAATCCTGCATTGGAATGAGGATGATTGACATAAATCACCCACTTATATTAGAAATAAAGAAATTGAGGTAAGAGACAAGGGTCAGCGGCTGGCTCTTTGATCATCTTCCCTTGAGGGGTGTGTGTGTGCAGCCTTACCAGGCCACAGAAGAAGACAATGCAGCCAATCCTGATGAGACCTAATAGGCTAGGGTCAGATGGATGGGGCGGAGGACCTCCCCTATAGTGGAGTGGGGGAGGGACATGGGAGGAGAAGAGGGAGGGGGAAGGGCAGGATTGGGAGAGTATGAGGGAGGGGGCTACAGCTGGGATACAAAGTGAATAAATTGTAATATAAAGAAAGGAAGGAAAAAAGGAAGGAAGGAAGGAAGGAAGGAAGGAAGGAAGAAAGAAAGAAAGAAAGAAAGAAAGAAAGAAAGAAAGAAAGAAAGAAAGAAAGAAAGAAAGAAAGAAAG